TTCATTTGGTACCTATTAACAAATTTATTTAAGCATCATTGTCGTCAATAGTTATAGTGATTTTTTAAGTTTCTCTAAAACGAATTAGTTCTATTTATCCACAAGTTTTGCTTTTCAGTTCATAATTTTTATTTCAATTACTTTTGATTTTAAATTATACAATTATTTATTTAATTATAACGAACGTATATCAACATCGCTGACTCATGAAACAGCCTTCTTTTTCCTTGCTTTCTTAAATTGTGCGAAACAAGAAAATAAAATTTATTGATTAAAAACTATTGTTTTGTTAATAAGAATGATGTTAATAAGAATAAAAATGATGTCTGAAAATCGTAACAAATGTATACGTCTGTTCGCAGTTAAAGAAATAGATGGAAGAAAAATAAATATTGTTTCTTGCAGACGATTTTCTTCAGCAGTGAAACATTAGTAAAAAAAAATGATTCTATATCGCATTTGATTTGTTAAGAACGTGTCAGGAAACCATTTTTAGTGGTTTAATCAAATCCAATGCTTTTGCAATGTCATATTGTTGTTCCTTTTAGAGAATAAATAAGGAGAACAAATGTTCTCCTTATTTATCTAATTATGTCGTGTAAAATCTAGGACTCTAGTAAGACTACGAAACTATAACCCTTTTTTTAATAATTCTATGATATATATATATCGTAAAAGATAGCGTGAATTAAATTTCTGTCCGACGAGTTTAACTTCTAAAAGTTTTTATATTGTTTTGAAAGCATATTCAAATAGTTTGATAACTAAATAAAAAGGAACTCTATGCAGTCGCAGACGATTTCTTAAATCCTACATGGCAATGGTCTTATCTAGCAGGTATGCAGATTTAGATTACGAGGGAATTTGCCCCTTTAAATTAATGAAAAAATCAACAACAAAAAAATTGTGTAATCTTATTCCTGCTTCTATACCTCTTTTTCTTCCCAAAACAATAAAAGTATTTTATAGCAACTTTGAGGAAAGGGGAAGATTCGACATCAGATCTCTGGAGAGTTAGGAAGATTGCCTCCTTACCCGCTTTGAGCCAAAATTGTTGCTAAATGTTTTTATTAATAGAGCATGATTAAGGGGTATAAAAGGGGCTGCAAGTTGGTATGCGTACTTGATTTGTTAAAAATTTCAAAAATAGCGCGTTCATTTTTAATGATTTTTATTACAATTTGAAGAGAACCCCCCTCCCCCCCCAAATGTCATTACTTGCTGCAACTATTTATGTTTTTCACCCTTTTAGCTCCTCATAAGAAGTTTAATGGGGGGGGGGATCTTTTATTTATATCAAATCATATTCATAACCATAAAATTCAGATAAACTAAAGTTTGTGTGTTGGGGGAGAACTGGGATTATATTAGCATACAGGTTTCATTTTACATAAAAATCAACAGGAATTGAGTAAGGGCTTTATTTCAGTTTTTTATATCTTTAATAAGTTTTTTATTATTATTTAGTATTTTTAGATTTTTTCTTCATATCTCTAGAAGAAATTAAAAAAATTTCTTTAACTCATTTATAAAATTCGTCAATCCAAAGATAGTTTCATGCAATAATTTTACTATTAGTTAATTTAATAATCAAAAAATTTTAAACTTTTGAATCCTACAGTAGGTCGTCCCGCAGTGGACTGATCGTTAAGACACGGCTGCTCGCANCTTTTTTTGAAAATATGTTAAAATAAAAAAGCCTTAGGGATTTAAAAATTTAGAATTTTTTCAACTTTTTTTAAAATTTTAAAAAAATTAAACAGTTTAATTACTTTTTGAAGATAAATTATTGATTATAACTTAAATGAGCATGTAAAGCATCCTCAAAATGAATGATACCTTTATTTTAAAAAATTGTTGCAAAGGTACTGTGACCCCTTAATATTAGTTAATTTAATAGTCAAATTTTAAACTTTTGAATCCTACAGTAGGCCTTTTTTTCTAGTAATATTGTGTAAAAAAATTTTAAATTAAGAATCATTTTTAAGATATTAATTTAGATAATTACCTAAAATTAATCTGATTTTTATGACCATTCTTTCATAGTAAGGTGAGGGGGATTTTTCAAGATTTTCGCTATTGAGACGCACAGTAGTTCAAGTTTATGGACAATGCACTGGAGAATAGTCCATGAACTTGAACTTCCGTTCTTATAAATAACCGAATTTATAGATTTTGTATGCAAAAGTACAACTAAACTTCTTCAGATATGATCAAACGCAGACTGCACACAAACTTCTGTAAACAAAGCTCATCATCAGTGTATATACAGTAGGGAACCGATTATCCGGAATGATCGGGACCATCGCTATTCCGGATAACTGATTTTTGCGGTTTTCTGCATCGCTACAAAAAGTCGTTTTTTTAACTGTTAAACCAAACTGAAAAAAAAACATTTTTTTTGGATATAATCTTAAAAAGAAGAAAAAACCATGAAATACACTAATGATTATTTCCAAAATGATGGTAAGGTAAACATCTTTCAAAAAAGAAAGGAAAATCCTAAAATCTTATGAGGAGAAATTTTTTTTTTTAAAAAAAATGGCGGGAAACTTTATCGAATTTCGTTCCGGTTTTCTGATTTCCGGATAACGGGTTCTGTACTGTATTTATCAATCCTACTATTGTGTTAGCATATAATACCATTATGTTGATATATTTTTCTTTGGCTAAATTAACACAATATTAGAAGGTACTCATATAATTGTGCGAGCTGATAACGAGATTATATCTTCGTTACTTTCTTTTTCATTTTCTTAAAAATATTTTTTCTCTTTATTCTTTTCTTTGTATTTTTATCTATAATATGTGAATATTTAAAATAATTTATTCCCCCCCCCCATGTTTTTATACATGAAATTTTAAAAATCTGTAAACTTAATTTTTTCATTCCATTCTTCATACCGACATTTCTTTCTCATTCCTTAATTTTTTCTTCCTTTCTTCTCTTTTCATAGAATTTTCTCTAACAGATATTAGTTGTCAGTAATTTTTTTTTTACTTTTCTTGAAAACCATTTTAGCTGCTCTTTTGCTTTTAAACTAAAATAAAAAAAAGTTCAGATAAATAAATAGAAGTTTTTATAAACAGCGATTTTTGCAAAACATGCATCAAAGAAAGATTTCAATTTTTTTTTAGTTTGTTAAATTTTTAACATTTAAAACTGAAAAAAAAAAGTTTTTTTTTCTTTCTCTTGACTAATCTATTTTTGTATTTCCTTTAAATATCTATAATAATCTTTATAGCTTCAAAGAGATTATTTGAAAATTTTGTGAAGGCATAAAAATTTCTGAACATTGGATAAAAATAAGTTATAAAGACGTAATATTTATATCAATCTGCATCGATTTATGCCAGAAAATAAATTTTATGCATATTAAATAAAACTCAGAGTCTACAAATCCCAGGTGTCATAGCAAATGAAAAACAATGGCTGGAGAACAATATTTTAGTAAACTTTAAACCTGAAAAATCCTAGTTGCTTGCACCAAGTTTCATTTTAGGGTATGTTACATTAGGAATGATGCAAATCTGTTCAATGTTGTTGTTAGTCATAAATAAAAGCCAAATGAAAAGGTGTATTTGAGTATTATGCAGGTATTTAATAGGATTTTAACTCATTTATACAGCAAAACTGTACACAATACATTTATATCTTATAACATAGAATCTACTTTATAAATAGAAAATAATAATTGTCTTTATGTAATTTAGTAAAAAAAAAGCATGTTGGCTCCAAAAACTTTAGAAGACCCTTGGCGTTAAAACAAAATGTGTGTGTCACGCACCTTCGGTTTTCCTACTGCTTATATTTTAGTTCCCATTTATATATATATGTATACACAGTCTAACTTGCTTATAACAAGTCCTGAATTTAACTAAAAAATTGGAAATACTTCGTTAGTACATGTTAAGTTTTTTTGGAGCATATCTCGTTTTTGACAAATAAACGAGCAATATTTAAAAAAAAAAAAATTCCTTTGACATTTCAAAGCAAACTGAATAGTGACGAGCCACAAATCCAGTAAACACATAAATTTTTTTTGTCCATAAAAGCCTGGGTGCAAATGGCAACGTTTTTTGGACATCGAATCATATCTGAAGAAAAAGTAACAAAGAGAAAAAAAAGAGTCAAAACTATTTAACTTTGTTTGTGCTGCACAGAAAAAATAAGTACTATACTTATAATTTAGTAAGTTATGTATGAATTTCTGATTTTTTTCACGAACCGATCTTTTAAGAGCACCCTGTTACAGCGAAGCAAATATTGCAGTCCCTTAACGCTCGTTATTTCTGAGTTGAACAGTATTTATACATATTTGTCACTAGGAATTCTTCAGGTTAATTATTCCTTTTCAGAACAAACAAGATGTACGGCTATCATAGATGTGCTCATGCTTACATTATAGACAGAAGAGTATTCTAAAACCTGGAGAGTTTAATCTGTCTGCAATTCACAAAAATATAAAGACGAAATTTGCAATGAGAAAAACCAATCGGAATATATTAGTAAAATGACTTATTCACTGAAAAAAAAATAATAATTTTTACACTTCTTTAATAATCAATAACAGATTTTTGTATACTTGTTTCGCTTTAAAGTCATAAAATTTCTGAGTGGAGCCCAGACTTTCAAGCTAACCTGTCTCATCTCAAATAAATGAATTTTCAAAATTACTTATTGGCATTGCTATGATTTTTTTTTATTAGCGATGAATGTAAAGTATGACCATGTAATCTGTGATACTAAGACACAATAAATATACAAAACTAAATGTTATAAGAAAAAAAGAGAGCTCAAAAAATTTAAACAAAACTATAATTAATAGTTTATTAAAAGTATCAAAATATCATGATAACATACCAGGGTTCCCACTCTATGATGAGATTGAAATTCAAGGACTTTCCAGGACTTTTCAAGGACCTCAACANAATGAGTTTTTTTTTATGTAATAGCTTTAAAATATTATCAAAAATTGCTGCATACATAATAAGTCTCCAAATTGAGTAGCATTGACACATCCTTTTCAATATTAATTAACAAAGTCAATTAATTTTAAGATGGAATATGTTCCATTCATTTATTTTAATTAATAATTACATTTTAAATGCAAAAAAAAAATCAGTAGAAAATTTTCTTTAGAATTATGGTGATTATTACAATTTTTATTGCAATAGCACAAACATACCAAACAGAAAAGAAAAGAAACTTAAAAAATATGCAAAACATTATACTAATATATCCATAACAATGACTATATGATACTGCTTAGTATACACAACAATTTCACACGCAGAAGTTATTTTAAGTAGATCACAGCAAAGCTATAGGAACATTATTATAGGAAACTAATTTATAGCACTTTCTTGACTTGAATTTCGATTTCATAGGATCCAGCATTTTCTGTCGCTGAATTAAACACAAAATGAATCTAAGACCCAACAATATTGTCTTTGGTTACTTCCAATAAATATATATACATATACAAAAATTTACATCTTACTGTTTTCTATCACATGTTATCACAGATTATAAATAATTTACATATTTAAATCAGAAAAAAAGGAGATAAATGCAAATTTGAGTGAATGCTTAAAAAACACGATCTATATACTGGCCATCAGTATTTGTAGCAGTAAGTTGAACATTATTGCGATTTCGTCCTGCCATTGCAGCTTGTCTATTCTGCTCATTCCTCTTCGAAAACAAATATTCAAACATGGATTGCGTGTGGAGAGCAAGCATTTTAGCTAAATCACAGGGTAGTGGATCCGACCAAAAGAAATCGTGATTAAGGGCTGAATCACTGTCTATTCTCTTTTTAGGATCTATAATTAGTAACTTGTCCAGAAGATCAAGGGAGTGAGTATCTTGAATATGTGGCTGAAAGTTAAAATAAAATTGAGTTTACAAACTTATGGACAAAGGTAGCTTTTACATTTAAATATACACACAAGAAAATTGACATTTTAAATTCCAAATGAAAAATTTCTTTAGTAAAGTAAACATAATGTGCACAGAATGTAACAGGGTGCATAGCCAGATTTTTCACCAAAAAAGAAAATGATAATTAGGATCTGTGCAGAATTTTTTTTCTACCTTTTAAAGTTCTTAATTTATAAACATAAAATCAATAAAATTCAAAAACTTTACATAATCATGATAAAATAACTAGTTTCTGATAAATATTGCAGAGAAAATTGCGAAAATCATGCATTTTTTGTAGTTTAGAACGAAAAAATCTTTTAAAAGATAGAAAATTAATTACTTTTTACAAAACTCGAAAAAAAAAGCACCTTTAAGGGCTTTTAAAAAACGTAAATCAAAAATAAGAACTTTTTTAAAATGCTACGCAACCTGTGTAATCTCACACAAGAATTCTTTTAGTAAAATTTTCAAGCCCAGTTTAGTATATAGTTTGTCTAAGCTAAGAACTCCCCCCACTATGAAGTCTAAGGCAGCCTGGTGCTATGGAAACTAGAATGGCACATTTGAGGGAGGTACCATATTTTTGTGTTAGATTTTTAAATATAATTTTTCACAAATTATGTCTAAATTTTCACAAAATATTTACCTCTCAGAAAAACTTACGACAGACCCCTGGTATTAGTATTACTTAATTAAATATCCAAGAAAGCAAGCAATAACCTGAGAGAAAATTCACTTCAACAGAGATTTTTTTCTTTTTCAGAAAACTTACTTTTAACTTCAGCAGGGGTAGAAGTGACCAATGAGAAAAAAATAGGATTGTTTTGAAAAAAATATAGGATTTTCTAGAAAAAAAATATAGGATTTTCTGGAATAAAAAATAGGGCAAAAAAGATCTAAATTAAATTGAAAAGTATGGATCATATATGAATAACTTTAAAACTNTATAAAGTACAGTACAGAACCAGTTATCTGGAAAGCAGAAAACCGGAAAACCAAAAAACCGGAACAAAATTCGATAAATTTTCCCGCAATTTTGAAAAAAAAAATTTTTTTTCCTCATAATATTTTAGGATTTTTCTTTCTTTTTTGAAAGATGTTTACCTTACCTTTATTTCAGAAATAATCATTAGTGTATTACCTTATTGTTTTTTCTTACTTTTAAGATTATTTCCAAATATTTTTTTTTTTTTTTTTTTTTAGTTGGGTTTAACACTGAAAAAACGGCTTTTTGCAGCGATTCAGAAAACCGGAAAAATCAGTTATCCGGAATAGCGATAGTCCCGATCGTTCCGGATAATCGGTTCTCTACTGTATTAGTAATACTTAATTAAATATCCAAGAAAGCAAGCAATAACCTAAGAGAAAATTCACTTCAACAGGCATTTTCTTCTTTTTTAGAAAACTTACTCTCAACTTCAGGGAATTTTCTAAAATGTACAAAAACAATTTTAATTAAACCAGTAGACCAGGAGAAACTGGTATAATCCCCTAGTCTACTGGATAATCAAGTAGAGGTAGAAGCTATGTAGTACTCAAAGTTATTTTAGCCTGCTCTGATTAATGTAATAAATAATTCAATAAAGTTAATCATAAATGAGAAAATTAATTACCATTAGCCTTTCTTTCACTCTTCTCTTACAATTTTTGGGTAGTTCTATTTTGTTATACAATTCAAGACTTTCAACCCCAGGCATTGACTCAGGATTAATACTACCACATAACTGACTAATCAGTTTGATTTGATGTTGCTCTGCACTGCCCTGTTGAAAAAGAAATCAATAATAAAATACACACATTAATTCCCCCCACAGAAGAATTTATATATAAAAAGATAAGATATTTTATAATATATTTTAATTTTATACCAATAATTAAGGTTTGAAAACAATTGCAATAATTGAATTTTATTGAAAATAGTTTAGAATTAATAAAATTAATTTATAGGCTTAGGAGTGGGCAAAAAATAAAAAAAATCAGCACAAAATTCTACAATTAGGGAGGAAAAAAAGGATATATTTTGATACAGCACAGATATACTAGACTACTCTCAAAAAGTTTTAGCTCTATTGGCATACCTGCCAACATTGGAGAAATAAAACAACAGAGATTTTACCAACAACATTTTTTAGGTTACAAGTAAAGTTTTGATACGTCATATATCAAAAAGAAAAATTCAAAATAATATAAGCACTCACTTACATTTAGTGCACTGCATTACATTACACTGCTGGGATCGGAGCCTGGGTTCACCTTTTAGGAAGGCGAATGCTCTATCCCCCAAGCCATCACGGCTTGACTTAAACCATTAACACTCAACATACTACAGTACTGGCAATAGCACCATTTCTTAAAGAATAATATAAGCATTTTTGCCATCAATGGATATTTTATCAAAAAAATGCTTTTTGAACTTCTTCAACAAATACGGAGAAATTTCTAAATGTACAGGTAAACAGGAGAGAGTCATAAAATATAGGAGTCTTCGTTAAAAAACAAGAGACTTAGCAGGTATGTATTTGAATATAATAAAGGTAGAGTTCTCCATATGGCACCCTTGGCTAAAGAATAATTGGAATTGAGGCAAGCAATAACTTCAAAGTTTGGCTGAAATGAAAATAATCTATTTCTATCTTATTTTGATTTTATTCCTTCTCTTTTTTTGTGGCAGGGGGGGGGGGCACATAATTTCAGGTCTGTTGGAAACTGGTACTTTAATACACACTGGTACTTTATACAAAATACTGAATGCCTCAATTATATATCACTAATGTAATGATTTATATGCAGTCGAACTAGTTTATAACGAGCGCAAAGGGACCGTAACACAGGGTTGCAAAAAACCCGGGTTTTTGTAGAAAAACCCAACCCAGGTGGTTTTTTCTGGGTTTTATTGGGCTTTTCTGGGTTCTATTGGGCTTTTCTGGGTTTTTCATGTTTTCATGGGGGCTTTTTCAAAAGAGAGGGCAGGAATAAGTACCTTATTTTAATATTAATAATTAAGTTTAATTTTATAAATTGACTTCATATAGATAATTAATACAAATAAATTGATGTGAAAGTAAGAAAAAAGTTTCTTCTGACATCACGATACAAAATGTTATATGTACTCACATACATCACACATTTGAAACTTATTTTAACACAGGATTACTTTTTATTTATATTTTAATCTAAAAAAATATTTGAGGAACATTCTTTATTTGCATAGAAGGCGAATAAATGGCACTGAATAATCAATGCCTATACAGTCAAATCTAGTAAGCAAGGTGACTCTCCAGTCTCCAACACAATTAGTTTTTTCACTATAGGTTAATTTTTTTAGGCTAGACTACATAAATATTTCAATAGAATAGCTCTTTAATATAACAGAGGATATAAAAAGAAATCAATAGTAGAAAAACCCAGTAAAACCCACTTTAGGGTGACTTCTGTTCCACAGACTTAACATTGATCCAACAAAATATTCTCGTTTCCCTCAGTAAATCCGAGTTCTCATTAAATCTGAGCTCGTTTTAAACGAGTTCAACTGTACTTATTTCACTGGTATTAAACAATGATTTAAATGTCAAACTAATATTTTATAGACACTTACCTGCATGATAGGAGCACGGGTCCACATTTCAGCCATTATACATCCAGCACCCCACATATCAATAGGAGGTCCATAATCACGTGCACCAAGCAAAAGCTCAGGTGGTCTGTACCACAATGTAACAACTCTATTTGTGTAACGGTTTGGTTCTTTTTTGGACTCACTAAAAGCTCGAGCTAAACCGAAATCAGCAATTTTCAAAATTCCCGACTTGGTTATCAGTATATTAGCTGCCTTCATGTCTCTAAAAAAATTTAAAATGCAACATACATTAAATATATATACAATCTATATCAATTCACTTACATTTTTATAAAAAAAAATATATAGAAAAATCAAATGTTAAGAATTAAGCAATAAAACCCTAATTCAAATCTATTAGGACCAGTGATAGTTCAGACAATCTGAAATAGAATTAAATTTTCGATAGAATGGCATGACTTTATTTTAACTGATTACATTGCCATGGATGCTGTAGGTGATTATACTAGGATTGCTAAAATTTGGAGGGGAAAAAAAAGTATATTTGATGAATTCACAGAATAGTAATAAAATAAAAAAAATAGACATTCAGCTATCTACAATTATGAAAAACATTTATTTTTGCACAACTCTCTCCAAAATTATCAAAGAGAATTTAAAAGCTAATAGTAATTTTTTTAACATTATAAAGAGGTTAAGATATGGTATAAAATGTGTTAACTTTAAAATTTTAACAAGTGCTAACTTTAAAATTTTTCAAAATGAAATCTTTTTTTAAATTTCTCAGGATTAGAATATTTTAGTTGTGTTAAAATATTTTTCTCTTCAATGTTACAAATATAACTTTCATTTAACTCCATACAAAGCTAGTGGGCCCCTGACCTAGGACTCTGCATGTGAAAACAAATCGCAATGCAGAACTTTTAAATCATGAGGTATTATTAAGGGTTACAAAAGCGAAAAAATCTATGAAGAGCTAGGAGTTTCCACGAATTTTTAGTATTTATCACTTAAAATCATGACTTTCCAAGACAAATCTTGATCAAAGTCAAAATCCGTGACTTTCCAGACATACATTGCATGCATACATTTTTCTTTTTCATGCTATAATCACAAAAAGTAATATGAATCAGTTATGAGGTAGTGCAAATCCAACTGCATGTGAAAAATATTTAAACCTTCCCTGCTGTGTATGAATCTTGCTTTATATATTTCACACTACCATGGTAACTGAATTGCAAAATGCGTTAATCGTATCTGGTTAGTCTCTTAAGTTGCAGGAGCGGCTTCAAATAATATAAAAATTACACTCTCTTGAAAAAATTAAATCTCATTTCCAAAGAACTTACAAAATTTCAAAGGTAATATATAATGCAACATAAATTGGAAAAATGATCAAACAAATAAACACTCCATTCTTAATGTAAAGATCATGGAACTCCTCAGCTCTGTTTTATATCAAAGCAATTCCAATATTCCCACTCCCAGGCCACAAGGTAAGGTTGACCCAGTATGTCAATAAATAAAGTACCATACTGGGGGTAGCTGGTCACCAACTGCAACGTCTGCTTCTGCATATCAGACCCCAAAGTCAAGAAAACTGAGATAGGCACAGGGCCTTGGCCCTCCATGAGCTGCCGTGCCCCTGAGTTTCGATTATATAGTTTAATAGCATCAAATGTTATAATATTTATTTCTTACCTGTGTAGAATTTTATTGCTGTGAATAAAATATAGTCCATTTAGGAGCTGTTTTATCACCATCTTAATCTCTCCAAGGGTAAATACAACTTTAGCGTTGCTCAACAGTCCAGCCAGATCATGCTCACAAAAATCAAACACCAAAAAGAAGTTTGCTTTGCAACGATTATGCGGAGAGGCTGCACAGAATTTCAAAAATTAAATCACAAGCATTTTTAAAAATATTAATCACATAATAATATAATATTAAAGGAGTTATAATAATAAAGCAAAGTTCTCCCTAGGAATAAAAAGAGGGCAGGTTGCTTTCTCTCAGAAAAGGGCACTTTGAATTTTGAAAGGACAGTCCACTTAACACTATAAAAATTATCAAGTTGTGTAACATTATGTAACAACTGAATTTGATCCTCAATGATTTTTAAATGACCCTTTTATAATATTTTATGTATATATTTCAAAAAGTAATTCTTAGCACATTATCAAAACAGGAAGAAAAAAATTGTGGTTTATAAAAAAATAATTCAACACTTTCATTCAATTAAAATAATTGAATTTTCTTCAAAAAAAGAGTTTTTTTTTCTTTGATAATTTAAACTGAAAATTAAGAAAAAAATTAACGTGAGCGTGGTTCACTTTCAACTGATAAGCGGCCATCTTTGAAGCGGTTGTACCACTCCTTTATCTGTGTGGTGCCCATCGCTTCATTTCCAAACACTTGTTTAATCTTGCGAATTGTTTCCACTTGCGAATCACCAAGATTAAAACAAAATTTTATGCAATAATGCTGTTCGACTTTTTCTGACATTTTAAAAAAAATAAAATCCGACGACACTCACTTGCACCTGTTCAATCATGAATGGCCTGACGCCGACTGACTTGTATTGGAGCTGTAGAAAAAAAATGAGCATGCGCACTAGGCATGCTCACAACCACACATCGAGCCCCGCTTCCATAGCTGCGTTTGTTTGACCAATAAAAATTAAGGTCGGATACTTTTTGATCATACCTCGTATACAGGGTATCTGCGGCATTTTAGATTTTCAAATTCATGACTTTTCATGATTTTCCATGACAAATTCCAAGAATTTTTCATGACTTAACGAAGTTGCTATTTTCTCCAACAAAAACGCAACAATAAATTAAAAAAGCATTATAATAACATTATTCGAAATAGGTATAACCAAAACTATTATACTCTTCATCTTCATAGATTTTAAACTTAAAAAACAGAGTAAGGAAAGAGTTGAAACAATAAAATAGCTGAAAAAAATACAAAGGCAAAAAAAAAAATTTTTCTGCAGAATTATATTCTAAAGATACTTTTCTTGTTCATCAGAAAGGAAAGAAATACTCCTGATTTTTCTGTTCATTTCGGAATAAAAAAAGTTCACCAATAACTGGTTTGCTTCAACTAGAATTTTAAATTGATAAAATTAAAAAAATAATAATAATAAAAATTGTTAAATCACAGAAGAGAGTTTAAAGGATAATCCGCTCTAGAAATGATATTTTTTCTTTCATTTTTTGAAAGAACACCATAATTTTTAAAGAACATGATAAAATCATTTTAAATTCAAATAAAATATGACTGAGTGGTGATTTTGCTAGAAATTCAGATATTTGGAACAGGATGAAATTGGGGGGAGGAAGATTCCATTTTAAAAATTAGATTTTTTGGAGACCTAAATCCATGACTTTCCATGATTTTTTTTTAAAAATAGTAAAAGGAATGACATTTCATGACAAATTTTGTTCAACACCAAAATTCATGACTTTCCAGGAGCGCGGACACCCTGTATATATAATAAATAGGAATTATTACAAAATAAGATAAACTTTACTTACCATCATTTTCAATTTGTGTTTTAGTGCGACAAATTTCAATCAAAGGCACTACATTTTCATGCTTTAGCAACTGCAGAATTTTGATTTCTCTGAGAGCAGTGATAGGAAACTAAATATATAAATACAATCGATTAAATAAAAAACCACTCATTAAAGTATAAACTTATATCTTAAACAATAATAAAAAGCTAATCATATTTTGTACAGAAAGCATGTGAGTGAATAAAATTTTGTAATTCATCTTTCATGTTCACATCATTCTACCACTTATTTTTAAGATAAAAAAAATAGATAAAAATAATTATAATAAAACAATAGTCAAAAATTAGAGCAGAAAATTTTGAAAATAGCACTTTTAGGTCAATATTCTTTCTCTCAGTTTATAAATTTAATTTTTTATGACCTAATTTTTTATTTTAATTAACATTCAGGTTTTTTGAGCTAAATATTACCTTGTCAGCGAAAACATTATGGAAAAAAAAACATTCCAAGCAAAAAAGAAATAATAATTAATTTAAACAAATAACTTTCAATATCATATTTGAGTCTTGTTTATCTAAATAATACTTACACCTTCTTTCTCATTCTCCATCAATACTTTCTTTAAAGCAACCAAATTTTTCTTAGTACGATGCTTAGCTTTAAAAACTTCACTACAAACAATTTAAAAACTATAATTATTAAATTTGAACAAATATAAATACACAGGAACAAGATTTATTTTGTTTAATAAAATTACGTATTTATTACATTACTATACGACTAATTTAGTCAATTATTATACAGACATACTTTTCATTCCAGAAACAGCAACATTAAAGTTAATTGTTATAGTGGATTTTTTTATAACTCAAAGGTCTATATTGAACCTTTGGAGTAATTAGACTTAAGAGGACACCATACGGTGGAAGAAAATTTTCCTCACATTCTCTTTTTCCTTCATTTCTAATTTAAAATTTAAATTAGGAAAAAATGAGTTCAGACAAACCAAGATTAAGCCATGAAGTTTCAAATACTGAATCGAAAATTTTAAAATACACAAATGAAATGAATTATGAGATCATAACTTAGGATTAGGCATGGGACAAGTTCTCTTCTAATAATTAGTTTGCATTTTAATATTTTGGAGTATTTTTTTCAGCAATTTAAACTTCATAACTTACTCCAGGTTTGTCAGAATTTACTTTACCTTTCTTTGAAATTTTAAATTAGTAATGGAAGAGAATGAGAATTTGCAACAAAAATCTTCTTCCGCGGCATGGCATCCTAGCAGCCAAATCAGGAACATTTCTCTAATACAATCATTATAAATATTCAAAAAAAGTATCCTTAATATGAAGCCAAAATTGTATATTTTGAGAAAAATGTATATAATTGGTTTTAGGTCTTTTTAATCAACTGATTAAAATAGTTTCTATAATTTTGAAGTGATAACACATTGGGTAATGCCTCTAAACATTGTTTTTAAAACTAAATTGTTATATGGTCCCATGATTCACCAATTACAGATAAATGATACAGAGAAAGATCAATTCTATTTAAAATTACAAATTTGAATAAGACATCCAACACAAGGTACTGTTTGTCTAAGATAGGTACTTTTCCCGACACAAAGTCTGCAGCAGTCTGGTGCTATGGAAACAAGGAGAGCATTTAAGGGAGGGTAGCTTCGATGAAGAGGTCCCCTTTTCTCTCGCCGAAACCAGTCCTAAATAGGGACACCACAGCCTTACCTGAAATAATCATACCTCGTTACCATAGTCACCGCCACAGTTCCAGACGAATGTCTGTGTCTGGAAGAATACCTATCTTAGACAAAAAGTAATTGAATTAAAATTAGAATCTTGAATAATTTTAATATATATATATATCAGAGCTAGGCAGGGTAAACAGGGCGCAACACCCTGCTGCCCTTTTAGTCAAAAGAATCCACCCTGTTGCCCCTGAAGTAAATTAGTGCCCTGATGTAATAGATTCCATACCCTTTTTGCCCTTTCTTTCCTCAACCCTTCTTTATCTTTTCCCCAAACTCTACAATGGATTTCTTAAACTTTTGTTATTTTCAACTCTTTTTATTTAGTTTGTCCTTGCTGTCAATACATAGATTTATATGGGAAAGGAAAATTAGCCACCACACCCCCTTTTTGCACTTGTCTTTAAAAGTTTGCAGCTACTTCCACTATCATTAAATCATAATTATTATTAATCATTTTAATTATTAACTCATAACTACAGACACTTAAAAACATACATTTATTATTTTATTAATATATGCATGCATTTTAAATAAATTAC